CCTTCACCGAAGCGAGACGCTTAGGGCTCTGCTTTGTTGTCCGCGATGGAGCTAAGCCGATCGATCGATCTCCATCTGTTGTTCGGGTTGGCGAACGGTGTGGGGATCAGAAAAATACTTCTTTTACCCGTTTGTTTGTTACACCCAGAGACTCTAGCCCTCTCGTGATTAAAACTCAGTGTGGGGCCAGAGGGTTGTCCAATAAAAAGAGGGGTGTGAGTTCTCTGCTGGTTCATTTCGGGACGGAGGATCTAATACGTGGTCGGAGCAGAAAAGGGTCATCGGGTGGCCCGCTCACGAGTCCCGAGCTACGACGACCGCCCATCGCCTGGACCACGCGCACCACGGTCTGGTCGAGCCGCCCGATGCGGTGCTCCCCAATTGACCGGCACCCCGCGTCATCCGGGCAGTGGAAGAGACAGAGGATCCCCCGTTCTGCCCTAAACACGGAAGACCAGTATCCCCTAGCGCCGGGTCTTGGCCCCCATGGCTCAAGACAACGTCATAAAGCTCCACGTGGATCTCCGCAAGTGTTGGAAACCGAAGCGAATCTGATGATCGCGGGTTGTGGATGATCCGATATGATGATCATTTGGATACCCGAAATCAGTCCAGCCCAGCCCATAAACAAAATTACAGCCGGCACGGGCTATTAACCCAACAATAGGACGTTCTCTCTCCTGTGCTGTCCCCCAAAACCCGAAGCGCTGCCGCGCACCGATCTCATGGCGGTAATAGAGTTCTTCCCGCCGCCGTCGCCGATCCCGTCGGCGACGCTGCACCCCGTTGTCCGCTTCAACATCTGTGACTGCTACGTCCGGCGCTCCGACCAGGCCGAACGCGTAATCGGGACCCTCCTTGGCTCCGTTTCCGACGGCGTCCTTGAGATCAAGAACTCCTACGCCGTCCCCCACAACGAGCCCGCCGACCTGGTGTGCCTCTTCCAATGTCGAATCTCGCTGCATAGTTGTGTGCATATATTCATATGTAGAGAAAGAAGTGGAGAAGAGAGGTTGGATAAAAGATTCACAAACTTAAATCTAAAATGAAGTCTACCGGCTTCATGACAACTCCTGATGAATTTAATTTCAGTACCTCCAAAAACGATCCAACGATTGTTTCTACACCTTCATGGTCAAGCATCAACTTAAAGTTAATGTACTGGCAGTGTTCCATTGCGTGCCAAATATAATATCTTGAGTTCTCAATTGTGTTACGATCATCTATTTTTTAAATCTTATGTCGCACAAACATTTTCAAGTATATTGTGCTGAAGATTTACTGATTTTGTAGTTGGGCACCTCAGCATTTCACTGTAGAATTTACAAGGAAATCTTAGATTAGTTTCACTTCCAAATCTACAGTGGAAACTCCGAATCAGTCTAATTATTCTGCATAAAACAAATTTACTTTAGCTTGATTGTAATAATCAAATGTGCAACATGTTGTATTAGAGCTGCTCTAAGTGATCTTCATTTTTACATCTAATTTATGATAGCAATCGATTATCTATTATTTGTTTGGATTTTAAAATTTAAAGTGAGATAAAATACACACCTCAATCTTGCTTCATGTTATTTTAATCTAGTTCCCAATAGTCTATCACTCAATGTTATTCTAATGATTTTCATTTGTTGGTAAACTTTCATTTTTCCTACATCTTAATTTGTCTTAATTTGTCTTCGACATGCTTGGCTCAGGTTGCATTAGATGTTGATTACCACAATAACATGTACATGTGCCACCTAAAGGTGAATCCCAAGGAAGTTACAGTTGGATGGTAAAATAACTCTTATCTTTTTGAACTGCCTTCCAATTCTGCACCGATCTATTTCTTTACTTGTACTCTTGTGACACTGACCATGTTTTTTTATGTGGCCATAGTTTATTTTCATCTAGCAATATTTAATAGTTTTGTTTAGCTACAACTATTTTCTTTAGTCGAGTAGGTTCTCTTTAACTTTAAAAACCTTGTTTTTGTGTGTTATTAACTTTCTTTTTGCTTATTAGGTTAAAACATCATATCTCTTAGTATCGATTATTTTTTCTTTTACAATCACTTTAGCTGGTTAGATTTAGTAACAACTAATATCTTATTGGAATTGTTTCATAGTAATGTTTTAAATTTTGGCCTGAGGTACTTGCTGGCTGAGACAAATGATAATGTACCTTGTGCAGGTTTTCAACTGGCTTTGGTGTTTCTGGTGGGAGTGCATTGATACATGACTTCTATGTAAAAGAACTTAAAGAAGCTGTTAAATAATTTAAAGATACACAGAATATTCTTCCACCCATTCATCTTACAGTTGATACTGGATTAAGAAATGGACAAGCTTCCATAAAAGCTTATATACTTGTCAATTTGTCTCTTGGAGATAGGCCTCTTGCAGCGCAATTTCAAGAAATTCATCTTGATTTGAAGATGATTGAAGCAGAAAGAGTTGGATGTATGGGTTTTCTATGGATTGCTTTATATATATATATCATATGTCTTTCTTTGTCAATGTTAGAAAGGGATGTCTTGATATAACTTGGTTGCTGGATATGCTTTGTTCTTCATACATGCTTATATTGCAGAACTAATATGATAAACCTTTTTCCTGCCAACTCTTCTTTTTCTAGCAGGTCCTCTTTGTTAAAGTCTTTGTTGCAAAATGACCTTTATTCATGACAATCTGTGGAGGGAACATATTAAATCTTGGCTGCTGTGATCTTCATGTAAACATGTTTAGAAGAAATGAAGGGTTATAGGTTTATTTTTTATGTTTCAGGATTTATCTTTCAAGATGGTACATTGAACTGCATCAACTTGGCGCTTGTTCCATAAAAGAAAAAGTTGGAGAAATATTGACTCTATTTGACCAAATAAAGTCCTTGATCAAATACATCCTGCATAAACAAGCTTTTATATATGCTTGCACATATATGAACTGTCTTTGCTTTCATTTGATTGGAAATAACCTGCCATGGCATCCATGGATGTTTTGTCAGGAATTTGGTAGACAAAAATTTGCGTGAAGCTCAACCAGCGGGTTTCACTCACATGATATTTTTTCTTTCATTCACATGATATCCATTTCAAGCTGTCTTTAATCAACATGATGTTTTTTCTCTATCTAGACTTATTGAACAAATTAAGCTGACCTTTATTTTGTACTTTTATTGTTTAAGATACATGTATTTTTTTAATTTGTCTCAATTTGATTCTTATGGTTTCTTTATCAAATGTATTTTAAGAGCTTATAACTTATGCATCACAGTCAATGAGCTAAAAATTGACTGCTTTGCTTTTTGACTTGACAGCTGACGTCTTAAAGACTACTGTTACTGACAAGCTCCCCAATGACTTGGAGGGAATGGAAGCTTCAACAAAGAGATTGTATTCTCTGATTGATGATATCTACAAATATGTAGATGATGTTGTGGTAAGGGTCTCTATGATCTCTTTACTCTTCCTTGTTTGGTTTAGGACCTAAATGTGTTGTTGTACCTTTCAGGAGGGACGAGCGGCCCCAGATAATGATATTGGTAGATTTCTTGCCAATGAATTGGCTTCCGTTCTGAAATTTCTGCAAATGATTTTTGACAATGTTTTCAACAAAATAATTCAGGTGAAGGATTTCTATTGCAATTTTAAAATATTTCTTTTGCACTTGCTTTCTTCATTGCTTATTTAAACCTTTTCTCTTCGGTACAGGATAATTTTGCATTGTTTTACCTGTCAAGCCTCATTAGGACACAACTAAGCATAGTAGAGAAGCTGAACACGGCTGCTCAGATATTGTAACCTGTCCTCCAATTTTGCAAAGAGGCTGCTAGTTCTTTTGTGCTGTTTCAGCTGATATTGACTGCTCTTGGATTTTTTTTTTTCAGTGTGGTCGCTATCAATAGCCTTACAGTCAACATATGAGTTATTAGTGATAATTTTGTATTTTGTTTTCAACATTTTCAAGATCGGTTACCTCTCTGCCACCACTTTTGTAATGGATCATTTTAAGATTGTACCGAATGTGCTGGTTTCATGCCTATCATAAGTCGTAACTAGCAAGCCATGGTTGCTCTGACGTTCGGCATGTCTATTTTTTCTGTAATTTTCATGTTTAAGGTAAAATTGTTGTAGTGTTAGTATATATTTCATTAGGTCCAGGGGAGATGCTTTGTCTGATGGATCTAACACTTCATATGCTCATGATGTACGTATATACTTTAGGGAAGTGATTTAATCAATTAGTTCATATCGGATGCTCTAAATGTTTGGATTGTGACCGGGGGTATCTTTGTTCGATCAATGTGCGTCAAACATTTTTTGTCGTAGTATTTGACATTTTTAACTCAACAAGAGGTAGATCGGAATTTTTTTTTTTTTTGCCTGACAAGAGTAGCTCAAACTTTTTTTTGCTTAGGTAGATTAAACAATTATTATTTGATCAAAGAGGATTAAACATTTTTTGTATATCAAGTATTTTTTTGATCCGACAAGAATGGGTTAGATTTTTTTGATTGTAAGTTGAGCACTTTTGTCCTACCAAAGTGTTGCTTGTTCTTAACCAGAGTACCAGATGGTAGAATTTTAATAATACTCAAGTTGTCTGATCTATTGTGTTTTGTCTTGATTATCAAACATTGTTGGACTTAACTCTGGTAGATTTTTATGACCTTGATTCTAGCACAGGCACAAGTTTATCTTTAGCATCATCTCGGTGTGATAATATATAGATTAACTATGAAGTTAGTAGATTTTTTTGACTAATTAGTTTCCACATGTTGAGTTTCGATTAATCGTGAATGATGATCATGTGATTTTAAAGAGATTAATGTAATGGCATGATTCAAAATAATTGCGTACCTGTCAACTACCATGAAATGACATAAAGGAAAAGCCAAGTTTCAGAAGTTTACGGGGATATACATACATTAGTGATCAATACGAGAATAATCGTCTTAAAAGGGCTCTCTCTATATATGCCTACGTATTGCACTCCTCAGTTGCGTTGGTATTTTTGGTTTAGCTGCTTTCCGCGACCCGGCGTGAATCCGCCGGACGGAAAGCACACGAGTGGAAGCGAGTTCTTGAAGGTGGAGCGGTTCCTCGAAAGGCCACGCCGACCCCTTCCACCTCGCAGCCCATTCTCCGCCTCAATGGATTCAAGGGGAGAGGAGGCCGGCGTGAATCCGCCGGACGGGACACGCCCGGACATCTACGAGCTCTTCTGCCATTACAACGCCCTCTACTTCCGCGACGCCCTCGGCGCCTGTGCCCTCTCCTGGGCCTCCTCCTCGCCTTACCCCAGGTGACGGACAATGCTCTCTCTCTCTCTCTCTCTCTCTCTCTCTCTCTCTCCCGCCCCCAACACCCCGGGGCCCGAATCCTCGGACACGGCCTTAGTTGCTTCCCCTCTTCACTGGACTCACACTAACGTTGCCCTGTGCTCTGCTGTAATGAGGTTTTGGAAGCATGGCAACACTAGAACGTTAGGGTTTGGAAGATTAAGGCGATTTGCAATGCATATGATTGTGATATACCAAGATATACAAGTACATTCATCGTGGATATTGAAATGATGATGGTGACATATGATTGGATTCATTGTTTGTTTTGGCCTCCGGTTTTCCTTTAAAACCTTGTCAGCGCCAATTTCTGTTTGATTAGCACTTTGGTTGTTTACTTTTTCTTTCTATTCATTTTGTTTTGATGGTGTTGCTCCTTTATTCCTTTTCCTTTTGTTTTGTGTTTGTGGCTGTGTGTGTATGTTTATTTATAATTAACACTTGGAATTCGCTTCTCTGCTTGTTTACTATTGTTATTTAGTGATATGGTCTGTAACAACTTTAATCAAGCCATCTACATACGAAAACAATGCAATTATGATGAGTAAGTACTCACCGTTGTGCACAAAAGATAACCTTGACTTTTCTATGGAATGGAACTTTAACCATGTGGCCTAAATGATGCTTAGGTTCAAGTAGTAGCAGCAGATCCTTCATCTCTCAGTGTTGAGGCGGCTGTATGGAGTTACTAGAAAAAGATAGACTTGAAAAATATCTTCATTCAATAACAATTACGTGTTGCCCCAATAAAAGATATATGAGAGTTCGTCTAAGATGATCGTCTGAAATGATATGAACATTTTCAAAGTAGATTTGCAAATAGTGGGTCGATTGAGATTACTGATGTGAGGGAGGGGTAGAGGGCGGTATAACCAGATATATTTTATTACACAAAGCTTAATGACTAGAAAACATCTATATACCCACCCCAATAATTGGGATATGATGGCTAAGTTTGTTTGTAACTATTTTTTATTTCCTCATATGGCACAATTGTGGTGCATCTCTTTCAGAAAGATGGTTGACTCTCATTGTGCTATGGTTACATATATAGCTTCGACATGTAAGTTCTAAAGAAGAACCTCATTAACTTTTGGCATAAAGTTTTCATATAGATGCGTCCTCTAGTAATTATTTTTGGACTAGATGGCATCCTGCTTGATGTTTTGATAGTTTCCTTGCCAGTGACAAGAGATAAGTGGACACACACAAAAGCTTTATTAGATACAATAAAAAGAGATCTGACTGCTTTTGGCTTCACTAATGATATTGCCATAAACGATGCTCAACGATCGTACAAGATTTAGGGCATTAACCATAAATAGAAGGGACATTATGGGTTATTGCTGTTATCATTGTTGGTGGTGTTGTATGGTTTTCTGCTCAAGTTGGCCTTGAAGCTTTGCTTAACCGTATATAATAAAATGCTCATGTGATGATAAGAGTGTGCCTTCAATTAAAGTTGCGACATTTTTAGACTATAAAAGGAAGGCCCAGATCATATGCAGGTGAATTCCAGTTAATGGATTTTATAGTACATGAAATTACTTGAAATATTTATTTTTGGTTCATAACATTACAAGATCAATGACCAAGTTTCTGTTCTTGCTTAATGCAGCTATGCTGCCTACTGTCACTATTATGATGGTGGCGGTTGTGAGATACACCTGTCTAAGCCCTTGTTGAAGACCTGCACTGCTTCTGATCTTAAAAATGTTTTACTACATGAGATGATTCATGCTTTCCTCTTGATTGAGTACAATAACAAGGATCACAGGTATATATTGGATTGTTTATAATGCAAATGCTGCTTTTACAGCTTTTATCATATCATATGCCTAAATCGCATACTTTGATTGAGCAGTGACCATGGTCCAAGTTTCCAGGATATGATGAATTCAATAAACTCCAACTCGGTTATAGATCCTCAGGTTTGTGATCATTATGGTTTGGTAGTACCTAGTGGTTTTGGACCACAGTTAATTTCTTTACCTACTACAGAGACCGATAGGAGGATACAACATCACGATCGATCATGGGTTTCAGAAGGACCATAATGATGATGGAGTTCACCAATGGATTGTAACACTAATTCTCTTTACTTTTCATTGAAACAAACTTAGTTGAAATTTGATCCATATATGATTTACGGAAATTTGATGGCATTCATGTGTCTTGGATGGCTGTTATCATTTCCTCCTGCAGTGTGAACTGTGTGGTGAGGTAATCTTGTCAACCACAAATAGAGGACCTTCAGCCGATGACTGCATCGAAAATGTGGGGCCTGATGCATTTTGTGACAACCCATTATGTCACTGGCATAGGTACTGCTATAGTTATGGGTTTCTTTACTACATATTAAAAAACAATGATGATGTATATCTTATGACTTCAATAGCTGCTATTTTAATAATGAAAAGTGGCAGATTAGATGCTGAAGCAGAAATTTAAAGATTGATGTTTAACCTTCTACAGAATCTATTGGTCTAATGTTATTAATTTATGGACTGATTTTTTACTCCCATATTATCTGTCAGTACAATATTAATATTGATTTACTCTTGCTTTATTTCTCTTTTTAGTGATGTTTTCTTTGAACACCTGTTGTCAAGTATGATACTGATGCTCTGAAGCTTACATGCATGCAACTGAGTTATAAAAAGAAATATTAATGATATTTTTAGGCATACGATAGGGAAACAATCATTTATTTTAATATAAAAAAATTATAAAAGTCTTAAATATCTTAATACAATTTAATAAAAGCCAGTTTGTGTTTAGAACTAATGAGATAGGACAAATAGAATATTTTGGCACGATCAAAGTATAATCCTGTAATCGATTTCAGTAATATAGTCAACTCTGTTGTACACATTTATCATCGAAATTTTCACCATTTGTACGAAGGTTCGCAATATTGATGCATACCGGTGTATCGACCAATGATTAGTACGGTACGTACTGAGGCGTATCGACGGTATACCCAAAAAACATTGAAATTAGCTCCAAAAATACTTGAAAAGTAAAAAAAATATATTAGTGTTTTTAAGTTGGAAATAAATTTAAATTTAGTGTAATTCTAGTGAAAATAATCTAAATTAGGAAAGAATAGTGACACATTTTTTTTTTGCTTTGAGGAGTAGCTTTGTGGTACGTTTCGGACCATCCTGTCATTAATATTGAATTATCTACAAAGAAATGATTTGAATTGTTATATTTTTTTATAAACAACTTAAACTTTAAGATTCAAATGAATCAAGTAATTAATCGATGAATATACCTGGTTCTACCGTCAAAACAAACGATTGGACTCCACGGGTAGTGGATCGGGGTCATCGATCTTATGTGTCCGTATATCAATTTGATACGTTTGCTGAACCCAATCTTGAAATTGATCCCACGACATAGTATACTGATACATCGTATGTCATTGATGCATCAATGTAGTGATGATCATAGTCTGATCATCATGAATCACACGTGTCCGAGGCGACTCCTGAGGCAAGTATGATTATGGCATGTATTGGTGTGAATCATGGAGACTGTCAGAACTTCTACTTTACCCATTAATCTATTGTTCTGTATCATAAGATCAATCACCGTACTACTGCTCAGAGAAGTATGACCAACTATCACCGTACTGTTATTGCCATAAGATTCTTCATGATATGATGGCTGTGAATACGATGAGCTTCGTTCTATAGCTACGTCAAGTAGGCTTTATTGCATCTGCTCAAAATCATCCACTGTCTTCCCCTTCTTCTGTGTATAAACTTGACTAGTGCCTCGTCGAGTTTCATGATATGATTCTTGGGTGGCATGTGTAAAATACTACTTCTCGGTCCATACACCACCCTCAAATTATGTAGACGAGACCATTGACTCCCCGGCATTGCTATCATCATCAGTTGAGACACTGTTGTCCATGTCGCTGTCATGTCTCTGGATTGAGCGGGTTGTTGAATGTGATTGAGAAGGTGTTTTGTCGCCTGACTCGATTCTTTCCAATGGCTACTGCCTTCCCCTTTGCGTTTGCGTTTGCCTTTGCACGTTGAGCGGACAACTGTGACGGTTGGGTGTCTCTAGTTCCTCGAGCAATTTGACTCAATGTTGTTCGGCTCCTTCCGTCACTTTCTGATCAAAGGGGATCTTCCTTTTAATCCTTCCAAATTTGATCCAATTCATAAATAATAGCTTTGTTGAGTTTAGGAGAGTGAAAATGTGAGAATGAGAGAGAGATATGAGTAAGAATGAGTTTAAGAGAGTGATATGAGTTTAAAAGGGGGAGAGGAAAGGGTTTTAAAACCTTTTCCTATGGTTCAAACAATCAATTTGATCGTTTAAAATAGGGCGATCTCAGCTCTTGATCGGTAACGGTTGTAATTTGAACGTTAACGCCTAGTACAGACCTCATATCGCCCGATACGATGTCAGGTTATGGTACCACCCAGTAGAGGGCGGTTCGAATACCAGTCCCTTGTCGAACCGGTACGTATTGCCCATACCGAGCGGTATGGGTCGATATGGCGAACCCTGATTTGTACCAAGTGTAGGTAGGAGAGTTGCATTATACAGCCAACAGCCAACAGCCAACATAAACTTGGTTAGATCTTAAGACCTGATAAAAGTTTATTGGAAATGACAAGAAGAAACTTGTACACTCTTAACTTGGCATTGTTATAAAATATTTTATTAAAACCCAAGCCTGGGTCAATTCTGATAAGCTTGCTTTATACTTTATAGTATATTATAGGGTATATGGCTCAACAACATCAAAGAAACCATATAATTAGTTGTATATAGACTTGCACTCTCCTGACCTGATACTCAATTAGGCAAAAAATGTTCAATGTGCATATCTCACTTGTCCGTTGTGTATCAATGATTTTTTCTCTTCATTTTCCAATTTTGGATATTGATGGAACATATCTGAAGTTAAACCCATGCAGATTCAATATGTATCGTTGCCTAATAAATGTCAATTATGCTCATACCTGCAGTTTTGCAATACCCAAGATTTTGGCACTGGTGATGGCACCAAAAACTGAGTAGATATTAAATAAATGTAATCAAGCCCCAAGCCATTTCTTTTTAGTTCAATATGAAATATTTGCTAGGATTGGAAATCTTAAATGCAAATGGATAATTAGACAAGGGTAAGACATTAGGATCTCTATCTGATGTCGATAACGGAAACTTTTTAGTAGATATATGTAAAAGGAAATAGCTCCCATCACCACTTATTTCCATTATTGATGTATTACTGCTAAACAGTTTATGGTACCTTTTTAGCTTTGTTTATACTGCTGGTGTTGACAAAATGATACATCTGTCCTTTTGCTTGTAATTTTTTGCATATGTTTTCCTGTGCTATTTGTTGATTTGATGATATTGAAGTTATTGGATTTTTTATTATGAATTTTTGGATAATCTACACTTTCAGCATATATATATATATAATTTATGGAAACATCCCTTTCGGTGAAAGGAGACAGAAATTCAGAAGCAATCACCAGCATGTGCCTTTCAAATTTTTAAAGACACAATTATGACGTGGCTAGAATTACTTATTATGTCTTAATGATTGTAGTTTTAGGCAAAAAGTTGAAGATAGAAGCAGGATCAGGAATCTGGACTACTTATTATAACTTTGGCATATGCTGTCTACCTTATGTTTGCAGTTAACAGCCAGCGGCTCAGTTACCAGCTTAATATTATCTTCAAATTTTGTAGTCAATGGATTGATACCTTACAGGAAAATGTGACAATAATACCTTCTGCTAGGTTGCTCTTTTATAGGTGCTGATATTGCTCATCATTTCAGCAACTTTTTTTCTTAACAGTTACTTCAGGTTTCTGCCTTGAATAGCTCATGAAGTTCTTGCTCTGGATTTTGCAGCCATAACAAGCAGTGCAGTGGTAGATACTCTATATGTGGGCCACCTGAATGTTACGGTGACAAAACTAGTTCAAGAGGTCAGACATTAATCAAGCCATATGTATCAGTTCTATTTTCCCTTAATTTTTCTGACATTGGGACAAAGAAAATAGAAAATAAATATTTGTTCCCCAAAAGTTATTTATATAAATAAAATCCTGCCTTTGATTTTGTCTGAGGCAACTTGAATACAAATTTTGATGGATTTAATAGTGCCAATCATAGATTATTTCTGTTTCAAAATTTTGATTATCATTTATTTAAACCAGTATTCACTTTTATTAATGCTTATTACAATCATTTTTTAAAACAAATCACTTATAATAAACCTTTTCTATTATTCTTTTCAGGCAAACAAGAGTGTCATGAGAACAGGACTGAAAAATTGCCCCATCTAGCTGGACAGACCAAACAAAGATTACATAAAACAGGACAAAAGAAGGATAAGCACAATGGCCAAAAAAATAATTTAGCCAAGTATTTGCTGCCTTCAGGTGATGCAACTCAAAGTTCAGCGAATACTTCTTCCTCTAGAGATGATTCTTGCAAGGAAATTAATTTTGAACAGTTGAAACGCGACCCAGAAATGCAGTGCGCTGTGGCAGCAGGAGGCCGTAAACGAAGAAAAAAATGTGTTTCCAAGAAGCATGTTTCTACTCGCCCAAAAAGAAGAAAGCTGACAAGATGTGACAACAAATGCACAGTTGTAATTGAATGGTTGGGCTTATTCGAAGACGAGGAAGCTGAAGATGACTCAGAACCTCTGGTAAATAAAAGGTCAGAGAGGAGGAAGAAGCAAAAGCTACTGAGTGGTATTAAGGATTGAAATGCGCAAACTGAGGTTATCTATCATGCCACCTCCTTTCAGATGGGTTGCAGCAGAGATGACAGAGATAAACATGCTATAGATGAGCAAGAGAGACATCTGATTTTGAGCAACAATCATCTGACAGGAAGCCTTGAAATACATCCTAAGGACTGGCATACCATGAAAGCTGCATCCAAAGATGAGATTGGTTGCCTTCCCAACCGGCTGATGATGTGCTCCCAGAATGCAGTGTAACTGGATATATGGATGTTAAGATGTACGATGACTCCTTCGAAATCACTGGTTATTGTGGATATCTCAGATGGCTAGTGGCAAAAATTTCCTCCTAATTTGTGGTATCTTCTTCCATCTGCATCTATTTTCACAGGAAACACAGTACATATGCTTGCAAGCAAACACACTAATAGACTCGGCTATTGCTCACGTCCCCGCTCATTTTAAGCTGTGCACGAGGCTCACAAGGCTCCTGTGATATATAGAATCTGGAGAGGATTGATTAGTATGGGAAACCTTAAGCTTGCCAGCCGAAAGACTATGATGTCAAGATTCATTCTCTTAGTAAGCATCCCAAGTAACTTAGCCAAACAAATACAGGCAGGAAGATCTCTGGGCAGCAGGAAATTATACCTTCTTCCTACTTCCACGTACCATAAGAGAATATGATTCTAACATCAATTGTAGTGTTTTTTTTTTCCTTTCTAATTTAGGACGATTTTAGAGCAATTATTCGTCAAGATAAATATGTTTGAAATCAAGAGAATATGATTTCCTTCAAACGATCTTAAATTTTAATATGACCATATCTCATTTCATGCATCCAATTTACATCATCGTCATATCTTATTACCATCCTTGGCACTAAATTTACCGATGCATGTACCCAAAATATAGGCAAAAGGCAGCCAGAGACAAACTTATGAAGTTCTATTTTGCCTTCATGTCTTTATTACGAGAAGGAACATCGCCCCAAACGATTTCAGTAATATTAACTCGTAATAAAGATTCGTAATATTAACTCGTAATATTACCGAAATCGTCTGGGGGCGATGTTACTTCTTTGCTCACCTGCTCGCTGGTCTTAAATGTGATATCATCGTCGATATCATTTACAGTTTCTTGAGCACAAGATGAGAATACAAGCATTATTCGGAGCCGTTCCATCGCATCTTTCAAGACTTTCCAACCTTGTGGTGTCCAACGTATGAAGCCGCACATTGTTTTCGTCATTGATGAGAGACGAATTTTCGGATGCATTGTATCCACGTTGTTGAATCTTGTTAGGAGAAGGCTAGCAGTGCTTGTGAGTACATACCATAAATGCCTTGCAATTTTGGTTTTACTTTGGGCAGATTCCAATTCAATCTCACCTCTTCTTCCGTGCATAAATCATGGTCTTCATGAGGAGGAGGAGTGTTCGCGCTGTCTCCCACCGTTGATTGACTCCAGAATCCACAGTGCGAGTTCCAAGCTTGGCGCAGCGGCTGCCACAAGCTGAGCCTCCTCCTCTTCCCTGCTCGAAATGACCGACGTAACGGCCATGAGCTACGGCAACCGGAAACCTCACTTCGTCTTGGTTCCTCTCTTTGCCCAAGGCCACATGATCCCCATGATCGACCTGGCTCGTCTTCTGGCGCTCCAAGGGGTGGCCGTCAGCGTCGTGACCACCCCCCGCAACACCGCCCGGTTCAAGGCCATGATCGATCGTGCAAACGCGGCTGGCCTACTGATTCGATTTATCGAGTTCCAGTTCCCCTGTACCGAAGTTGGTTTGTCGGAGGGCTGCGAGAACGTCGACCTCCTCCCGTCTGGGGATCTCGCCAAAACCTTCATTGCGGGGTTGAGCATGCTGCGAGAACCGTTGTTGCTCCACCTCCGTCAGCAGTGCTCGAAGCCAAGCTGCATCATCTCCGACGCATGTTGTCCGTGGACGAGTGAGGTCGCTCGTGAGCTGCGCGTGCCTCGCTTGGTATTCCACGGGCCCTCCTGCTTCTTCCTCTTGTGCACTCATAACGTGAGCAAGCACAAGTCCGGTGGCCATTTAGCTGATGAATTCGAGCCCTTCCTCGTGCCCGGCTTCCCTCACAAGCTGGAGGTGGTGAGAGCCCAATGTTTGAAGTTCTTCGAATTGCCAGGATGGGAGAAACTTTTCGCCGAGGTGGCGGAGGCTGAATCCATGGCCGATGGGTTTGTGATAAACAGCTTTCGCGAACTTGAGGCCGCCTACATCGATGGCTACCAGAAGGCGCTCGGGAGGAAGGTTTGGGCTATAGGACCAGTCTGCCTCTCCATCAAGGAGACCTGCGACAAGGTCACGAGAGGGAACACGATGAACGTGGACGAGAACTACATTAGGAACTGGCTCGACGCCAAGGAGACGGGATCCGTCATCTACGTTAGCTTCGGAACCATGGTGAGCCACAGCGCTTCTCATCTGATCGAGATAGGACTCGGCCTGGAGGCGTCGAAGAGGCCATTCATCTGGGTGATCAAGGAGAAAGAGATGTGGCCCGAGGTGGCGAGCTTCCTGTCCGAGGGATTCGAAGAGAGAACGAGCTCGAGGGGCTTGATACTGAGGGGTTGGGCGCCGCAGGTGCTGATCCTGTCACACCCCTCCGTGGGAGGATTCATGACGCACTGCGGGTGGAACTCGACGCTGGAGGCGGTGTCGGTGGGAGTGCCGATGATAACATGGCCGCACTTCTTCGATCAGTTCCTCAACGAGAGGCTAGTGGTCGAAGTTCTACGTGTCGGGGTGGCGCTCAAGTTCAACATGTTTATTCGTCGTGTTGCCGATGATGCGGAAGGTCTGATCACCCGGGAGGATGTAGAGAAGGCGGTCACGGAGCTGCTTGATGGAGGAGCGGAAGGAGAAGAGAGGCGGAAGAGGGCCAAGGAGCTAGCGGAGAAGGCCAAGAAGGCAATGAATGGAGGTTCGTCGTGCGAAGACTTGACGCTCATGATCCGACATGCTCTGGAGCGTGCAGGCGAGGCTTCGGATGCACAGGAACCCTAATTAACGTCCTGAAACCGGCAGTTATGTGATACTTAGAATGCAGCTACTGACGACTCTAACATACGGACTAAATCTTTACTTAATTAGTATCTTCATTGATCTTTATATTTGAATTTGAATATGAAATCTATCACTTATCTTTTCTTACTATGAATACTCTATCTTTCCTATACATCCATCCCTTGGTGGTGCATCAACGAATCTTTATGTTGTGATCATTCCGGCATAGGGAGCCATAGCCATGCCATGCCATCTTTTGAGGAGAATATAACATGCAATTTTCTCCGCCAAGAGCCCTTCTTTGACACCATCATAAAATATTTCACTAAGCTCAAACCTAGCAGCTAGCTCCAACAAATCATGGAAACATAAAATCTTGGAGCATTTGATAATCTAGTGTGTGATAGATACTCAAATTTGATGCTTAACTAATCAAATATGAGGAAATATTTGGTAGCATATTGACACATGTATCCATAGAGAAGAACTATGGTAGGCCACAAAGATCGTGATCTCGAAGGTGTGAGTAGAAAGACATGAGATCCATTAGGATTAGTCCTCACAACCTTCGCTCTTATATTCTTGCACATCCGATAGCTCCTTCTCTCTTCGAGTACAAAATAACATTTTATATTGGGCAGGAGAGGAGAGAATATTTCCTAGAACATTCTACGTGGATAGAATCTCTTCTTATCCATGTTGACGTGAGAAGAGATAGTATGCAACTATTGTCTTAGACTTTTGTTTATACAAATAAAACAGAAAAAGGGGCGAACTTTATTTATGTGATTGACTAGGCTACCACACCAGCCACATGTTGGATAGTTGTTTGGTCATAATATTTTTTCTATTATTTGTCCCTCCTCCTAAGGTTTGCTTTAGAAAATCCATTGAGAGAGTCTCAAAGTATGATAATAGGTCTATCTGACATATCAAACTTATATTCCTTTGATTGTTTCTCTGAGGGAGGCGGGAATGCCTAACTTATGCTCCTCGGGTGAGCACCAAAGGGGGTCCATGCCTCGAGCAAGCCTCCAGGGGGTTAGGGACACCTAACCTACATGTCTCTAGCAAGCATCAAGGGGTCATGGACACTTGATCTACACACCTTAAGTGAGCGCCTTTAGATGTTCACCCCCGTAGGGGGCATGTTGATTATCATTGAGATACTCACTCAAGAAGGGCACATCAGGTACTTTTGAGACACTCACCCATTGGGGGGGTGATGTGTTGAGTATTTTCAAACATTTATCTTCGTAGGGATGCATTTGGTGCTCTTGAGACGCTCACCCATTGGGGGGGGGTGTTGCCCAATTCTGAGAACATTGAGAGTATCCTCCAAAGTCAAAGTCTTTGGAGGAGGAAACACCCCCATCAATCGAAATCAAAAGTAAACGAGTTTAAAGGATTGGACTCTATCTACCGCCTATAAATTCTTTCTTAACATCCTCAATTTAAGATTATGAAAAAAAAAAAAAGAGCTCTTCTCCCGAGCAAAATCATTTATTACGTATTAAGAGTTAATCTTGACATCCTCAATTTCGTATTGAGATGTTCATTCTTTTATTAGATCAGCAAATGATAAGGATAACTCATCTTGGTAAGGAACCGTTCCATCGTCGCTTTCGAGATTATAGATTGACGCAATCAGACTGGTAACATTTCAACCTTGTTGCGTCCAATACATGAAGCAAGCAGGACATTGTATTCGTCATTGCTGCTCGCAGAATTTCCAGATGCATTGCATCCATGTCGCAGAATCTCGTCGGGACAAGAGTAGCAATGCTTGTAAGCATATCATAAATACCTTGCAACTTTGGTTTTATTTAGGGCAGATTCCAAGTCAATCTCACCTCTTTGTCCGTGCATAAATCATGGTCTTCATGAGGAGGAGGATTATTCGCGCTGTCTCCCACCGTCGATCGACTACAGAATCGACTGTGCGAGTTCCAAGCTTGGAGTAGCGGCTGCCACAAGCTGAGCCTCCTCCTCTTCCCTGCTCGAAATGACCGACCTAACGGCCATGAGCTACGGCAACCGGAAACCCCACTTCGTCTTGGTTCCTCTCTTCGCCCAAGGCCACATGATCCCCATGATCGACCTGGCTCGTCTTCTCGCGCTCCAAGGGGTGGCCGTCAGCGTCATGACCACCCCCCAAAACACCGCCCGGTTCAAGGCCGTAATTGATCGTGCAAACGCGGCCGGCCTGCTGATTCGATTTATCGAGCTCCGGTTCCCCTGTGCCGAAGCTGGGTTGCCGGAGGGCTGCGAGTGCTACGACCACGTCCCGTCGTTGGAGCTCTACAAAAACTTCTACGAGGGGTTGAGCTTGCTGCGAGAACCATTGTTGCTCTACCTCCGTCAGCAGTGCCCGAAGCCGAGCTGCATCATCTCCGACGCAAGCACCCCGTGGACAAGGGAGATCGCTCGCGAGCTCCGCGTGCCTCGGTATGTGTACCACGCGCCCTCCTGCTTCTTCCTCTTGTGCACTCGTAACGTGGGAAAACATAAGCCCGGAGCCGATGCATTCGAACGCCTCCTCGTGCCCGACTTGCCTCACGAGGTGGAGGTGGTGAGAGGCCAAGCTTTGGGTTTGTTCGACTATCCAGGAATTGAGAAGCTTCGCGACGAGGTGGCGGAGGCTGAATCCACGGCCGATGGGTTGGTGATGAACAGCTTTCGCGAACTGGAGACCGCCTTCATCGATAGCTACCAGAAGGACCTCGAGAAGAAGGTTTGGGCTATAGGACCAGTCTGCCTCTCCAACAAGGAGACCGGCGACAAGTTCACGAGGGGGAACAAGATGAACGTGGACGAGAACTACATTAGGAACTGGCTCGACGCCAAGGAGACGGCGTCCGTCATCTACGTTAGCTTCGGAAGCATCGCGAGCCACAGCGCTTCTCATCTGATCGAGATAGGCCTCGGCCTGGAGGCGTCGAAGAGGCCATTCGTCTGGGTGATCAGGGATAAAGAGATGAGGCCGGAGGTGGCCAGATTTCTGTCCGAGGGGTTCGAAGAGAGAACGAAGGGCCTGATACTGAGGGGGTGGGCGCCGCAGGTGCTGATCCTGTCACACCCCTCCGTGGGAGGATTCATGACGCACTGCGGGTGGAACTCGACGCTGGAGGCGGTGTCGGTGGGAGTGCCGATGTTAACTTGGGCGCACTTCTTCGACCAGTTTCTCAACGAGAAGCTGGTGGTAGAAATTTTACGGATCGGGGTGGCGCTCAAGGCCAACACGTCCATCGTTTATATGGCCGATGATGCGGAAGGTCTGATCACCCGGGAGGATGTGGAGAAGGCGGTCACGGAGCTGCTGGAAGGAGCGGAAGCAGAAGAGAGGAGGAAGCGCGCCAAGGAGCTGGCGGCGAAGGCCAAGGAGTCAATGGAAGGAGGTTCGTCGTGCGAAGACTTGAGGTTCATGATCCGACATGCTCTGGAGCTTACAGACGAGGCTTCCGATGCATAGGAGCTCCAGTAAACTTCCTGAAACCAGAAATTATGTGATACTTGCTTTATCCGAGTAATAATTTTCTACATTTTATTTGTAATAAATTAATAAAAAATTTACCTGATATTTTCATTGACATTTATCCTTGGAATCGAATATAAGATCTATCATTTATGTAAAAATGCACCAACCAATCAAATATATTTGATTTAATATTATTAATCCCAGTTATATACACGACTCTCTATCACACATCTATCTAAGCTTCAGTTTAGTATTATTAGAACTCTACCACCTAATGTAACTAAACTATCTAAAACTCGATCTTATCAACACTATTACCAGATAAAGTCTTTGTTTTTGACCTGCATGAGGTTTACAATTTATTGAAATATTTCTCACATATAATGTTCTTCATCTTCAACATTGGATGATGAGCTCAACGAGTAATTATCTCATTATTCATTTCAAACCCTATTTTATTATGAAAATTCTGCTCTTCTATCTTTCCTATGACATATGGAGATCATAATGAACTCTTTTTCGACACCATCATAAAACATTTCACTATCTCAATCGTGCTAGATGATAGAAGAAGATAGAAGATAAAAATTATAGAAGAAACTGTATTCCTTGATATGTTCTTTTATTTATACAGATTAGGAGGAAGAATTTTTCTCAGAATAAATAGTGAAAATATTTGATGTCATATATATATATATAATTAATCAAATATGTGGAAATATTTTATAACATATTTACACATGATTAATCTAACTGTATAAATTCATCAAATCTTAATAAAACAGCCCACACATTATTTCAATTTCACCTATTTGAAAAATAATTCACGAGTATAAAATTCTCACACTTGAAGATAAACGATTACAGAAACATCCCCCGGACGTCTGAAGATTGTGCTCCTGCTGTCATACTTTCAATGTAAGTAAAAGAAGATATTAGGAATTAAATTGCAAATGTGCATATAAAAAAAGAGTTTTTCTTCTCACCGGCTCCCACCGGCTCTCTCTTGAGAAGACGGAGGCTGGAGGGAAAACCGAGAGAAAGGAAAGAAAGAAGGAATAAAGGAAACAGAGAGAGAGAGAGAGAGAGAAAAGGATTGGGAGATAGCTTCTTTCTTTTCTTTCCTCCCCCGAGATCTTTCTCTTTCCTCTCTCTTTTCTTCTTTTCTCTCCTTCTCTTTCTTCTTACTCCCTTCTCCTTCTTCCTTTTTTATTTCTATTTTTCAAAGAACCCTCTTTCTGTCTTCTCTTCCTTTCCTCTCTCTCTCTCTCTCTCCTTTCTCCCTTCTCTTTTTCTCTTTCTTCAGTCTCTTTTTTCCTCTTCTCCCTCTCAATCTCTTTCCCCCTCCCTCCCTCTGTTTTCCGCGTCATAGAAGCAGAGACGTGGGGGCGGTGGGAATAAAACCGTAGTTTTTTTATACCTTTTGTAATTTATTCTCTGTAATATGCATATTTACAAATAATTCCTCAGAAAAATCAGAGATATTATACGTGTATCTGTTGAGGCACTAATATATGGATGCATGCACACGGTGGCACTGAAGAGGTTCCTTAATCTCTGTTTACGGTTAATATTAATGAAATCATCGTTGGTCAATATCTGCCGACAAAACTATTTACAGTTTCTTGCGCACAAAATATGTATCATTAGATCTGCACATGAAACTTAAGCATAACTCATCTTACCATTATTTGAACCGTTCCATCGTAGCTTTCGAGATTACAGATTGACGCAATCACACTCGAAACCGTCCAACCTTGTGGTGTCCAATGTATGAAGCAGCACATCGTATCCATAAATGCATTGTATCCATGTCGCGATTACATACCACAAATGCCTTGCAATTTTGGCTTTACTTTGGGCAGATTCCAATTCAATCTCACCTCTTCGTCTTCCGTGTATAAATCATGGTCTTCATGCGGAGGAGCATTATTCGCCCACCGTTGATCGACTCCAGAATCCACTGTGCGAGTTCCATGCTTGGCGCGGCGACTGCCACAAGCTGAGGCTCCTCCTCTTCCCTGCTCGAAATGACCAACCCAACGGCCATGAGCTACGGCAACCGGAAAGCTCACTTCGTCTTGGTTCCGTTCTTTGCCCAAGGCCACATGATCCCCATGATCGACCTGGCTCGTCTTCTCATGCTCCAAGGGGTGGCCGTCAGCGTCGTGACCACACCGGGCAACATCGCCCGGTGCAAGGCCACAGTCGATCGTGCAAACGCAGCCGGCCTGCCGATTCGATTTATCGAGCTCCGGTTCCCCTGTGCCGAAGTTGGGTTGTCGGAGGGCTGCGAGTGCTTCGACCTCGTCCCGTCACCGGAGCTCTTCAAAAACTTCCACCAAGGGTTGAGCATGCTGCGAGAACCATTGTTGCTCTGCCTCCGTCAGCAGTGCCCGAAGCCTAGCTGCATCATCTCCGACGCATTCACCCCGTGGATAAGGGAGATCGCTCGCGAGCTGCGCGTGCCTCGGTTTGTGTACCACTCGCCCTCCTGTTTCTTCCTCTTGTGCATTCGTAACGTGAGAAAGCATAAGTCCGGAGCCGATGCATTCAAACGCTTCCTCGTGCCCGACTTGCCTCACGAGGTGGAGGTGGTGAGAGCCCAATCTATGGGTTTCTTCGACCACCCAGGATATGAGAAGCTTCGCGACGAGGTGGCGGAGGCTGAATCCACGGCCGATGGGTTGGTGATGAACAGCTTTCGCGAACTGGAGGCCGCCTTCATCGATAGCTACCAGAAGGCGCTCGAGACGAAGGTTTGGGCTATAGGACCAGTCTGCCTCTCCAACAAGGAGACCGGCGACAAGGTCACCAGAGGGAACAAGATGAACGTGGACGAGAACTACATTAGGAACTGGCTCGACGCCAAGGAGACGGCGTCCGTCATCTACGTTAGCTTCGGAAGCATAGCCAGCCACAGCGCTTCTCATCTGATCGAGATAGGCCTCGGCCTGGAGGCGTCGAAGAGGCCATTCGTCTGGGTGATCAGGGAGAAAGAGATGAGGCCGGAGGTGGCCAGATTTCTGTCCGAGGGGTTCGAAGAGAGAACGAAGGGCCTGATACTGAGGGGGTGGGCGCCGCAGGTGCTGATCCTGTCACACCCCTCCGTGGGATGATTCATGACGCACTGCGGGTGGAACTCGACGCTGGAGGCGGTGTCGGTGGGAGTGCCGATGATAACATGGCCGCACTTCTTCGATCAGTTCCTCAACGAGAGGCTAGTGGTCGAAGTTCTACGGATCGGGGTGGCGCTCAAGGCCAACACGTCCATCGCTTATATGACCGATGATGCGGAACGTCTGATCACCCGGGAGGATGTGGAGAAGGCGGTCACGGAGCTGCTGGAAGGAGCGGAAGCAGAAGAGAGGAGGAAGAGGGCCAAGGAGCTGGCGGAGAAGGCCAAGGAGTCAATGGAAGGGGGTTCGTCGTGCGAAGACCTGAGGCTCATAATCCGACATGCTCTGGAGCTTGCAGACGAGGCTTCCGACGCATAGGAGCCCTCGTTAACTACAGTAAACCAGAAATTATGTGATGCTTTATCCGAGTTGTAATGTTCTCACTTGTCCAGTACATTTTACTTGTAATAACTTATCTCAGTTTCAGTTTAGTGTTATTAAAAACTCTATTAGACTATCTAAAACTCAATCTTATTAACACTATAAGATAACTAAGAGATTAGAAAGTCCTTGTCCAAAGGACTTTCTTAGTGATTAGCCAACCCTGCAAGGAGATAACTAAGATATTAGAAAAAAGTAATTAGCCCTTTTACATTGATATACACATACATTAGTGATTAATACGATAATAAACGTCTTAAGAAGGCTGTATATATACCCGCGCATTGCTCTCATTAGTTGGGTTGGTTTTTTGGTTTAGTTCCTGTCTCGCCGCCCCTCATCGAGGAAAGTACATGAGGGCACGAGTGGAAGCGACTTCTTGAAGGTGGAGCGGTTCCTCGAAAGACCGCGCCGACCCTTTTCCGTCTCCCTACCAACGACATCGTAGCCCATTCTCCGCCTCGATGGATTCAAGGGGAGAGGAGGCCGGCGTGAATCCGGCTGTCGGGAGACGCCCGGACATCCACGAACTCTTCTGCCATTACAACTCCCTCGGCTCCTGTGCACTCTCCTGGGGCTCCTCCTCCCCTTACCCCAGGTGACGGACAATGCTCTCTCTCTCTCTCTCTCTCTCTCTCTCCCCGGGCGCGCCTAGAAGATAAACAAGAGAAGATCGTCTAAGATAATATGAACATTCTTAAAGGAGATTTACAATTAGTTGGTCGATTACTGATGTGAAGGAGAGGTAGCGGGAGATCTAAAGACTTCATTAGAAATAATAAAAAGAGATTAGAGTCTTTTTAGTTTAACCAGAGACATTTTATTGTACAAAGCTTGATGGCAAGAAAAGATTTATATACCCGACCCCAAATAATTGGGATATCACAGCTAAGTTTGCTTGTAAATGTTTTTATTTCCTCGTATGTAATAAATAATCTGGTGCATCGTTTTCAGGAAGATGGTCGAGTTTCATCGTGCTATGGGTACATATATAGCTTTGTCATGAACGTTCTATCCTCTTAATTATTTTTAGACTTGAAGGTATCCTGCTTGATCTCTTATTAGTTTTCTTGCCAGTGAAAAGAGATAAGTGGACACATGCCAAAGCTTTATTAGAAACAATAAAAAGAGATCTGACTGCTTGTAGCTTCACTGATGATATTGCCATAAACAATGCTCAACGATCGTACAAGATTTATGGCACAAACCATAAATAGAAGGGACATTATGGGTTATTGCTGTTGTTGTCGTATGGTGTCCTGCTCGAGTTGGCCTTAAAGTTTGCTTAACTGTATATAATAAAATGCTCATGGAATGATCAGTGTGCCTTCAATTAAAGTTGTAACATCTTTAGACTATGAAAGGAAGTCACAGACCATATGCCGGCGAATTCCAGTTTATAGATTTTGTAGTACATGAATTACTTGAAATATTTATTTCTGGTTCATAAATTACAAGATCAATGACCCAAGCATCTGTTCTTTCTTAATGCAGCTATGCTGCCGACTGTCAATATTATGATGGTGGTGGTTGTGAGATACACCTGTCTGAGCTGTTGTTGAAGACCCACACTGCTTCTGATCTTAAAAACGTTTTACTAGATGAGATGATTCATGCTTTCCTCTGGATTGAGTATACCAACAAGGATCACAGGTAATATATTTAATCGTTTATGATGCAACTGCTGCTTTTACTGCTTTTATCATATCATATGCCTGAATTGCATACTTCGATTGAGCAGTGACCATGGTCCAAGTTTCCAGGATATGATGAATTCAATAAACACCAACTCAGGTATAGCTCCTCAGGTTTGTGATCAGTATGGTTTAGTAATATAATAGTATCTAGTGGTCTTGGACATCAGTTAATTTCTTTACCTACTACAGAGACTGACATGGCGATACAACATCACGATCGATCATGAGTTTCAGAAGGACCATAATGATGACAGAGTTCGCCAGTGGATTGTAAAACTAATTCTCTTCACTTTTCATTGAAACAAACTTACTTGAAATTTTATTTATATATGATTTACTGAAATTGGATGGCTGCTATCATTTCCTCCTGCAGTGTGAACTGTGTGGTAAGGTAATCTTGTCAACCACAAATAGAGGACGTTCAGAGGATGCATTGAAAATGTGGGGCCTGATGGATTTTGTGACAACCCATTATGTCACTGGCATAGGTACTGCCATAGTTATGGGTTTCTATACTACGTTTTTTAAAACATTGATGATGTATATTTTTTGACTTAGCTAGCTGCTTTTCCAATGATGACAAGTGGCAGATTAGATGCTGAAGCAGAAATTTAAAGATTGATGTTTAACCTTCTACAGGATCTATAGGTCAAATGTTATTAATTTATAGACTGATTTTTCACTCCCATATTTTTTATTTCTGTTTTCAGATTGGATTTTTGGTTTTAATGTTTTCAATGTGACCAGGAAAAGATTTCTATAAACATATGTGCCAGTGTTAAATCCTCACATTTTTTAGCGATGTTTTCTTCGAACACCTGTAGTCAAGTATGATACTGATTGTTTGAAGCATACATGCATGCAATTGACTTAAAAAGAGAGATATTAATGATATTTTTAGGCATATAGTAGGGAAACTATCATTTATTTTAGTAAAGAAAAATTATAAAGGTATTGAATATCTTAATACAATTTAATAGAAGTCAGTTTGAGTTTAGAATTAATGAGATAGAACAAATGGAATATTTTGGCACAATCTGAATAAAATCCTGTAGTCGATTTCAGTAATATATTCAACGCTGTTGTATGTGCTTATTATCAAAATTTTCACCATTTGGATGAAGGGTAGGTAGGAGGGTTGCATTACGCAGCCAACAGCCAACATAAACTTTGTTAGATCTTAGGACCTGATAAAACTTTATTGGAAATGACAAGAAGAAACTTGTACACTTTTAACTTGGCATTGCTATAAAATATTTTATTAAATTCCAAGCCTGGGTCAATTCTGATAAGCTTGCTTTATACTTTAGAGTATTTTCCAGGGTACACGGCTAAACTAGGAATCTTCAAAGAAACCATATAACTAGTTGTGTGTAGACTTGCACTGTCCTGACCCAATACTCGATTAGGCCAAAAATGTTCAATTTACATATCTCACTTGTTCGTTGTGTATCAATGATATTTTCTCTTCATTTTCCAATTTTGGACATTGCTGGAACATACCTGATGTGTACCCCATGCAGATTCAATATGTATCATTGCCTATTAAATGTCAATTATGGTCATAGCTGCATTTTTGCAATACCCAAGATTTTGGCATTGGTGAAAGCATCAAAGACTGAGTGGATATTAAATAAATGCAATCAATCCCTAGTCCATTTCTTACTAGCTGAATATGAGATATTTCATAGGATTGGAAGTCTCAAATGCAAAGGGATAATTAGACAAGGGTTAGACATTAGGATCTCTATCTAATGTAGATAATGGAAACTTTTTGGTAGATATATGGTACCTTTTTAGCTTTTGTTTATACTGTTGGTGTCGAATTAGCTAACCCATGAATCTATGGGATACTTCCAAATCTATGAAGTTCTGACAAAATGATACCTCTGACCACTTGTGCATCTGTTTTCTTGTGCTATTTGTTGACTTGATGATATTGAAGTAATTGGTTTGGTTTATATGTGTGTGTGTATATA